TGAATGGGGCCCCGGCCCAGCTAAGTCGTGGGTCAGTCAGAGACTGGTGCCTCCTCCAGATGTGCCGTGCTGGGCAGCCAAGGAGTGGGAAGACACGTAACCCCCTGATCTTTCAACAGGTGAGGGTGGGCCACAGTTGCGACCTGGGCTCAGCCTTTGCTTCGTGTATCCACACCTCGCCACTGCTGCTTTCAAAGCAGCGGGTGCCGCCCCGGGCCTTGCTACCTGGTCCGCCCAGTGGCAGGACGCACATGGCGGTGCCCAGTGCTATTGAAGCAGAGGTGGCAAGGTGCAGAGACATGGAGCAGAGGCTGAGCCCAGCTCGCAGCTGTAGTCCACCCTTGCCCATGCAAAGATTAGGGGCCATGTGCCCTCCCCCCCCCTTGGCTGCCCAACACCACACCTCTGGAGGAGCTGCCAAGCTCTTCCTGGGGACAACGCAGGGCAGGATGGGACAGGGCAGGCACAGGGGTCCTAGGGCTCCATCTTCTCCAGCCCCGGTCTGGGCCCCCCCCAAGCCAGTGCATGGCCAGGGTGGGGAGGCAGCCAGGGCTGGGAGGTAGCCAGGACTGCGGCCAGTGCAGCTGGGAGGCAGTTAGGGCAGGTGCGGTGGCCAAGGCCAGGAGGCATCTGAGGCTGGCGCAGCCAGTGCCAGTGTGGCCAGGTGGCAGCCAAGGCTAGGGCCGGTGTGGCCGGGAGGCTGCCACAGCCAGGACTGGTGCAGCCAGGTCCAGGAGGCAGCTGGGTCTGGGGCCAGTGTATCCAGAGCCAGGAGGCAGCTGTGGCCAGTGTGACATCTGGGGCTGGCATGGTAAGGGCTGGGAGGTGTCCAGGGCGGGGTGGTGCAGCGCAGTGCCGGGCAATGCCGCTCCCCACTTTGGCATTTTCCCCTCCCCCCTCAGACTTTTCCATGGGGGGTTGTGTGTACACATGCTCAACCCCCCCAAATTTTTTTTCTTCCTCTGCCTATGGTTATATCTTTTATTGGGGGAAGCACTTCCAGTTTTGCCGCTGTGCTCTGCCTCCACTTTTGCCCCCTCCCTCCATTCTGCAATCAGCTGCTGGGGTTCCCCCTCACCTGCTCTGCTACAGAGGGTGGGGAGCAAATGTAAGCATTGGCCGCCGGGTGCCAAAGAGCCATGGTATGCCACTGCCTATCTTGGTTGTAATGCTATTTCTTTCTTATTATAAGGTCTTCATTACTACAGCAACCAATTGCCTCCCAAACATTTTCAAAAGCAATGATAAATAACACAGAAAATTTTCCCTGTGAATTTCAACCACAGTATTCTAAGTTTGGGAACCCAAACAACAGCTCTGGTATAGCCTTTGGGAAGGGACCTGGACAGATTGTTGTGATGTCCCACTGTCCTCAGCTGCCAGGACAACCTGTTATAGCTTGATGCAGTTCTAGTCTAACTTGCTCTGGAGATTTCAGCTGGTTCCAAGACCAGGGAAGTGTAAAAGTAGTTTCCTTCACTAGAAACCTTGTATAAACAGAAACTAACAATACAGGGATTTCTTCTAAGACTAAAAGATTGCTTGCACTCTAAGACAAGGGTGGGTAAAATACAGCCTGCAGGCGATATCCAGCCTGCCGGCTGCCATCAAGAGCCAGAGGAGGGAGGGCTGCACCTCATGCCATTCCACTCTGCCACAGCTGGGGCAGAGCTGGGCCATACAGTGAACATATTTCTTTGCCCCAGCCCCCCACATCCATCCCCTGCCCCTGCCCCTGCCCAGCTTCCTCCATTGTGCTGCTAGGGGAGTCCATGCCTGCTGTGGGGGGAGGTTCAGCCTGGGGCAGCTGTCTCCAACTTTCCCAGTGTGGTGCAGTGGCTCATTGCAGCATGTGGATAGGTGGGACAGCTACTCGGTGCTCTGCATCATACCCAATCCAGTGAGGGCTCAGCTGCCAGCACACATGGTGCTAGAACTGCATAACGCCAACAGGAAGCCAGGCGGGGGAAAGGAAATGGATGTGGAGGTTCAGAGGAGTCTGTGTGCTGCAAGGCTCAGCCCAGCCTGGCCCCGATTGCAGCAGAGCAGAGAGACACAGGGTGCAGCCCTCCCTCCTCAGGCTTGCAGTGGTGGCTGGCAGGCCAGATAAGATCAACTGGCATCTCCCCATCCCCACCTCCCCGCTCCAGCCCTCAACGGTTCACCAAAATTCCTTAGTGGCCCTCTATCCCACATAATTGCCCACCCCTGCTCTAAGAAAAGGAACTAGGAAATTACATGTAATAGTGCCACCTGGTGACTCCTTCACTAGCAAGAAATTCCGTGTTAGAGTTTGGTATAGATCATTGTCTTTAGAACACAGCTGTATATGCCTCTAAGAACTTACTTTTGATAGCATATCATGGACATGTTCATTGTAATAAGCAATTACATTAGTAAGGACCACTAATCTTTAATTGCTGCTGCTAAGTAGAAGCCACTTTGTCTCGCCAGGTTTCCATTTCCCTCTAGAATTCCTATCAGAGCCATATCAAATACCTCCTATGGAATGTGGTTACCTGCAAAATGAGTTTCTCGCTCCTGCTGACTTGCCCAGCTGCTACATTGTATTGCTATGACACCTGCTAGCACAGCCAAGAACTGCCTCTGATATGCTCGTCAAAATATCATAAAATAGACACCAGTCAGAATGTAGTGAGAAAGGAGTGAAGAAAAATACGAACTAAAAATGCTGAGTTCAGATGACAGGATAAAATCTATAAAAGTACAAGTGGTAAACTTGGAAGAAAATAGTATAAGAATTTATTGCTAGAGTGGAGACACTCAAAAGTCCAATGGTGTTTGCAAACCAAATAAATATGTTCTGTGTTGGCCACTGGGTTGTTGCAGTTTGCAGTAGACTGAAGAATGCAAGAGGTGCAAGTTGTTGCATTAGAAGTATTTTTTTATAACTTGACAATTCACAGAATAATACTTAACAGATGAGAGTGAAGGAACTGCATTGCATCATCCTTATGAACTGTTGAGGGGGAATTACAATCAATGAGTAAGAGTGGGACCAGACCCCAATGTCATGACAAATGGTAGGCCTGCTGCCTACTATGCAGTGTTGCAAGTACCTGTGGCGTCCAGTTTTGCATATCCAACAGATTAGAATAAGCAACCCAAAACATTTAGCTAGATATCCAAACCAAATCCCAAGTCTGAGGTACACCCATCACAGCCTGAAGGCTAGATATTTTTATATGTATTAAACATGCTTAAATTTAATCCTTTGTTTGATCTGGAGACAATTAATTTATATTACATTATTCTTATTTTATTTACGATATTGGACTGCTACCAAAATGCTCATGCTGGGAGCTTTCATACAGCTAGAACATATGCTTAGCTGTGTTTTGATGTGTTCAATCAGTGTTTTTATATTAAGTAAATTTTGTAAAGGAACAAGGACTGCTTGATTTTTCAGCATCATTTGTTTTTACTTCGTTTCTGACACATTTTTATTTTGAAATTACATTAAAATGAGATGATCTACAAATGGTTGCCAAGCTGTCCAAGATCAAATAAGGTCCAACTCAGAGACTGGATCTTCTTTTGACCTGACTTGCAAAGATACCAAGCAGTCACAGCTCCTTTCAAGCCAGGGATTTCAATGGGAGATTTGAGTGCCCAATGTATTTGAAAATGGGATTAGTTATTACACCAGTTTCACAGATTTTTGAGGAGTTAGAGAATGCTCAGCTTTGTCTTCCCACTGTTCTCAAGGGTTTGCACTATAATGGACACAAATGCAGCAAACTCTGATTTTTGTCTTCACTAGGAAAACGTGTTTATTACTGTCCAGTAGTTAATAGTTAACAACAAAAACTATGGAAAATCCTAGGGAAGATGAATCAGGCTGTAGTTTTCACTCCAGTTAGCACTTTGAGACAAAACTTAGGCTCCCTCCCAAGTCTTTACCTCAACCTGATTATTATCATGAAAATGACAAACTGTCTTATCTTCACTAGGATTTTACCTCCTGCTCATTATCTAGCACAAGGCTAGAGATCACCTTTTTATAGTTAAGATATCACAAAAGGGTTCAATCCTCAGTAAAGGGCTGGAGCATATTAGAGCAGGCTTAAGTCCTCCTCTGAAAAGCACCAGCTGTAATAGCTCTCCACTGGCTATTAAACCTACAAAGCTAGCAGGAACATGGTACATTCTAACCAGGGGCATATCTGGAGGGGGCACAGTGGTGTGGCTGCACCCTCCTTTCAGATTGGATTATGCTGGAGCTTCTAGGGACTTTAAAAAAGTCCTCAGAGTGGGGGAGAATCCCCCTTTTCTCTCCATGTCAGAGGCACATCCCCTCCCCTTCTTCTGTCCCTCACCTGCCAGGGCTGCTTTCCTTACTATTATGGGGGCAGAGGAATCTTCAGAGCTGCTCCTGCCTGCTCCAGCCAGGGTACATGGGGGCTGGACTCACCTAGGACAGTGACAGTGGTAGCTGCCTTCCCACGCTTGCTCCAGCAGTATGAGTGGACTGCCACTCCTCCCCCATTACTGCTGCTGCTGTTCCCAGCAAAGCCCAGCTTTCACGCAGCCTGGCTGGAGTGGGAGCGGGGAGCTCTGAAGCTTTTCCCACTCCTGGGACAGTGGGGAAAGCAGTAGCAACTGGAGGAGGAGAGGATGTAAAGGAGAGGAGGACACATGCCTCTGTGCATGGAGTGAAAGATGGGGATTCTTACCTGCTTTGGGAACTTTAAAAAGTCTCCACAACTCCTGTCTGCACTGGTGGGTCGTGAGGTAGGAGGCTGGGAGCAGAGGTGCAGTCACCCCTGCACCTCCACTAGCTGCTCCTGTGCCCCCCTTTGCCAAATCCTGGATCCACCCCTTATTCTAACCCCACATGCTCAATTTTTAAATACCTCTTCCTAACCCTTATTGTGGAGGCTTGAACATGGCCAACTAGAATAGCTTTATACTGGCTGAGAACAACCGCAGACTACTTGGCTGTGCATTTAGAACAGCCTCAGTGGCATAAATAGACATTACGATGAACTGCATCTGGCCCTTGCATTTGAATTCTCCTTGGATCATAGTAATGACACTGAATGTTTTCTTTCATTGCTTTCCAATGCTGTTCTTCTTTTGTCTTAATTAGCACAGAGAATAAAATACATCAAGCCTGGGTAACAAATGAATATGCTGAAGCCCAGCTGCACAACATTGTCAGAAGAATGCGGGCAAGGACAGAAGCCTATAAAGAAAAGCTGACTGATGCATTATTGTCCTCTCCTGAGGCTAGCCCGACAGCGTGTAAGTCACTTCCGTTCTCAATAGGTAGCTATTAATTTGGTGGCTTTAAGAGGAAAATCATTTTGTGAGAGTTTAAATGCTGAAAGAAAATCGCCAGTCCTCAGCTGATATAAGACAGTGCTTATCTACTCTAGGCAATGCAGTAATGTTGACAGCAGTCGAGAATATGGCGTTATCCATACTGTAATGATCCACAGGTTTAAATAAAGTCAATGGATGTAAATGTCAAGCTGTCTAGAATCATTTCAAATTACATTCTAGACCCTCAAGTACATGTTAATATAGCAGTTCAGGAGGCACATATATGATCCTTATTGTGAAGTATACATATTCTATTCAGGAGTGTACCAATAACACTAAGATGAGATTTTTTTTTGCAAAAACAAAGTTTGAGGCAGGATGGTAATCACCCAGCCTTATTAAAGATGCCAGGTATATCGCTTAAAATTCAATAAGGCAGAGCAAGGTAATGGATCCCACCTGAAATTAATTAAACATTATGACCATATTGCTCATCTTTAGAGAAAAGCTCATTTCCCCCTTCCCACTCCCCCTGTTTTGCACAAGAGAAGGAAGAGTGGATCATTTTTATATTCTCCACTCTTTGCAGAAAATATCTATCTATCATTATAGCAGGGAGGCTGAATATATGCATGAGTACCTAAAGTATTATAAGCTGTTCCAACTAATAAAGAAATTATGGTCTTAGGGTTTTTTTAATTACTTCTTTGCCAATTAACTGTTTTCCCCCCCATCTGGTACTTAACAATCATTTATTTTTTAACTCTTAAAGGATCCCATTTATTACACAGATTGAGTATCTCACTAGCTCCACTGAAATCATTGAGAATGTAACTGCTTGGTGATAGAGAGGCTGAACCAGCCTCAGAGACTTGCATCTCTTTTGTGTGCAGCAGTCATGCAAGGCTAAATTCCAAAGTGGAGCCCATTAGTACAGGCTGTCTTAGCTTGTCTCAGCTCTACACCAAGATTGCTTATGTGTACTCTGCAGGGAAATCTAGTGAGGTATCACATTTCACTCTGTGACACCTAACACCAAATGTCCCATTGGTATTACCAGATGTTCCTGCTTATGTCACTGCTGATTTTTATCTTCCAATCTGGCTTCTAATGTATGCTGTACTATTACAAAGTGCTATAATCACTGAGAAGTGTATTTAATAGGGTTTCTAATATGTTAGGGCTCTTGATCTGTCAAAACAAGGAGAAGTATACATGCCCTTATTAAAATATTCCTTTCTGTGACATACATACTTAGCTCCATCTAAAAAGAAGGCACAGCCACTTCCCCCACCACCACCACCACCAACAGAAGAAAAAAAAGAAGAAAGAGAAGAAGCAGCCAAGCTGGAGGAGGATCATTACTGTGACATGTGGTGCTATAAATTCAAGAAACCTCCACTGAAAAAATATCTGAAGATAATAAGGCTTCCAGAGAGCATAGATGCTTACACAGGTAAATCAAATGCAGTTGTTCAAAGGAAAATGCTAAAGATATAATCAAGTTGTACATTTCTTTCTTCTGTAGCACCCAGAGGCCCCAACTGAGCTGAGAGCTCTACTGTACAAAGCTATAGGGGGAGACCGTTCTGGCCCTGAACTTTCAGTCTAAGTAGTTGAGGATGAGAGTGGACACAGAAACACAAAGACCTAAAATGACTTATCCAAGCCCACACAAAAAGACAGAGGTAAAGCCTATTTAAATATGTATGTATGTGTATGTGCATGCGTGCGTGTGTGCGTGTGTGTGTGTGTATAAAAAAAAGAGTCCAGAACCATAAAATCAATGTGCCTGTGCACTGGGGCTATATTACCTCTCCACTGTTGGTGTAAAATGGAGGTGTCTGCTGAAGGCAAAAGCAGCAAGGGGCCTGGTCCTTTTCTATCTGCAGACCCTGCCTTCCTCTCCTGCTGCTAAGGGACAAGCTGACAGCTACATCATTGCAATTTGCAACATTGCAAACTAAATTATATCCAGATGTAGTTTAGTTTGCAATGATGCAGTCATTTTAAACCCCCAAAATTGGAGCATGTGTAATGTGTGGTGCAGTTAAGCCACACAAATTACATTTTTGTCACATGTATATTGTGACAACTGTCATGTGTATGAGCACCCCAGGAGATTAGATACCAGTCAGTTGTTTTCAGAAGCAGAATGTGCCTGTACGTGAGCGTGAGGGCTGCTCCAATGCACTGTAATTCCAGTGTCTTGGAGCATGGTAATTACCATGTATAAGTGCCCCTGCACTTAAAAATGGTGGCAAACAAGCTTTTGTTCAAGTGCCTCTGCTGTAATTTTTAAGTACAGGAATGCTGATACATGAGATGCTGTGGCACTTTAATTAGAGCAGCTCTGAGAGCTGCTCTAATTAAAGTGGCACTCCCAATCCTCCCAAGCTACATGTAACAGTGCCCAGAGGTATCAACACTCACAACCTGCTTTGTGCATCTTGTTAGGTGAGAACTAGGATACTGAAGTGCTCAGTGATGTCAGGTCTTAGGTGATTCTGTACATACCCAGAAGCATTAACTTAGGAGCTAGAGGGCAATGCTAGTAAAAGGTTGAGCCCTAAGGAATTAGGCCGCCTTCAAGGTTGGGCAAAAGCTGAGGGGTTCTTTGAGTATTTCATTGGAACTGAAATGTTGTATGTAAGTGTCTCAAGTGGTGTTCAAAGTGTACCTGAGTCCCTTTGTGGACTTAAAGTCAAGGGCACCTTTGTCTAAAACATCAAAACTTACCAAAGATTTAGGGATCTATGTTTATTAAATTTTCCATTGTTGTATATTAATAGAAAGGAATCTATATAATAAATAGTTACTATCAGCTGAAATAATCACTGTTTTTCCTCTGGATATCCAAGCAAAGACATTTTAATTTAATCTGCAAGAGACTTATAAAGCAAGAAGCCACAAGGTCATTTTTCTAACAGTTTTATGTAGGTAGGTGTAACAGGGAGCCAGCAGGCTCCTGTTACTTTAAGAGGAGACTGCAGCAGGATGAGCTGGCTATCTTCTAGGGTTGTGAGAGGCTTTGGACCATGCTTCAGACCTAGAGAAGCTTTGGACACCAAAGCATCCAAAGCTGCATGTCTGGATCAAAGTGGTTTGGAGCTTCCAAACCATTTCGGAGCCGCTTAGGAGATCCAGCCATAGGGTATAATGGGGAATCAATGAAATATCTATAACTTTGTTGTTTTTAGCCTGATTTGGATGAAACATTTAAGGGTGGTAGCCTCTGCTGAGAGCATGAAGCCTGCCAAGTTTCAAGAAGATAGGTGCAGGGGTTTGGGGGAACTGCACCTCAAGCTGCGGACAAGCAAACTTGTGACATGGGTGATACTGTGTGTGTTAAGGCACAGCAGGGTGAAAGCTGCAGGCCTGCTAGCCCCTGCTGTGGCCAGAAAGCCTGCCAGCTGTCAAGGAGATAGGTGCAGGGCTTCTGGGTTCTGGGGCCCTGCATCTCTAGCTGTTGACAGGCAGAACTTGTGACATGGGTGCTTGTGCAACTGACTGTCTCTGTCCTGGGGCAGTTGATTGTCTGTATTGCTTATTTCCTCTCCTTAGTCTGTGGTTTTGTAGGTATTAATCCTTACTCATTAACTCGTTAAAGTTATAGATATTTCATTGATTTCCCCATTATACCCTATGCCCAGATCTCCGAGGTGGCTCCGAAGCTTCGGAGCCACCTTGGTCGGATCGAAGCGGGAAACGGATCTGGAGCTCTGGATCAACTCGCTGGCATCTGAAACGGCCAGATCTGAAGCCAAATCAAATAGCTGCCTACTTGCACAGGCCGACTATCTTCTAGGAAAAACACAGACTTATATCCAGCTGTCAGTAGCAAGAGGCAGGGGGCACACCTTTAGGCTGCTCAGGAGTCCAGAGCTGCAAACAGCAGTTAAGCATCAGTAAGGGAAAGCAGGCTGGTCATTAGGCCCAGAAAGAAAACCTCTGTGTGGCTGCAAAGTCACCTGACTGGAAAGGCCAGAGTATATAATTACAGAGCCCGAACCAGGGCAGCCAGTCTGGCCCTGCAGAAGAAAAAGCTCCTTAGCAGGAAGGCTAGAGAGGAGTGTATGGCGGTGTCCACCATACACTCTGCTGAGAACTGCTAGTAAGGCACTGATGGCCTAAAGGAGAATATGACCCTGTATCAAGGGGAGGTTTGGTTATACACAGTGATCTGGGTTTTATGTCCATGCCCAGTTTGCGGGGGGGTGGAATCATGTTCTAACCAGAGAGCTTATTCTTTCGTTACAATTCAAACCAGCAATTTGGTTTGGTACAATCAGGGGTGGAGGAGATCCCAGCAGAGCCCAAGAGACTTCTGGCTGTTTCAATCCCTGCCAGGGGCTGGGCACAAGGCACAGACAGGTAGTGGCTGAGAGGGCCAAAACTGAGAGGGAGAAAGAGAGAGAGAGATGACCTGAGGCCAAGAAGACTAAGCCAGGGAGGGGCAGAGACTAGCACCAAGGGCCCACAGTCCAAGAGGGGCAGAGAACAGGGCCAGAGCCTCTGTCCAAGAGGGACAGAAACTAGAACCCAAGAGGGTGAGAACCAGGGTGGGAGCCCAGAAGCCAGGCCCAGCACAATGGGCCTGGATTACAGAAAAGGGATGGAGGCCAGGAAGGCTGAGGCCCCAGTGAAGGTATAGAGGCTGGAGGAGACCTGATATGGGACTAAGGCTGAGTGCTCACTGAAATAATTAATTGGTAACACCTAAGAAGCATGGATGTGACTATAGGAGAGGTCAGAAGCCATGAATAGCTTATAAGGCAGCAGGTGCTCTGGGGAGCATGGATAAGCCAGGAGAGCCAATTTGATGTTAAGGACAGGATAGTGTACAATGGGTGTGGAAAGGACTTGTTGGTGGAATATAGATAAAGGCTCATTTGGGGACCGTGGGGCAGCCTCCCTTTTCACGTTCCAATTATTCCATCAAAGGCATGGCAGGAAAGGAAGGAGGGAGGATAACTTAGGGGCTGGAGCAGGGCAAGAGCTGCCTGGCCACCAGGGGGCATCAGGGCTGCCCCTGGGGCCTTGTTACAGTAGGCAAGTAGCATGCTACCTGAAACTTGGGAAACAGGAAGGAGAAAATAGGAATGACTACTCTCATATGATTCAAAAACTACTATTTACATCTTTTTTCATAGTCATTTACCACAAGTTCTTTTGATAGATACCTCATGTAATTTGGAGTTTTCTATTACCCCTCACATGTTCAAAGTACTGTATTGACTTAATAAATTCATTGTCACATCACTCCAAGCGAATAAAAACTAGTATCCCCATTTTACTGATGGTGAAATTGGAGGAGAAATTAAATGACTCACCTAAAGTCAAAAGGAATAGCTTAGTCATGTTTAGAATTTAGGATTTCTTATGTCCCAACCCAGTACTTATTCCTCCCCACCTCAGTATTGTGCAAATTTCATTGTTTTACTTCTTTCCCTAGAGGGAAGTACCCTTTATTCACAAGCAAAGGGAGAAAAGGCCTATAGATGCTCATTATGTCAGTAGCTTCTGTTTTCTCTTTCAGATCACTACTATGTAGTATGGCTCCTGCTTGTTACTATAGCCTATAACTGGAACTGTTGGTTCATTCCACTGCGCTGTATGTTCCCAGTTCAAACATCAAGCAACCTATTTTACTGGATTATCATAGATATCCTATGTGATATCTGCTACCTGTGTGACTTGCTGATATTCCAGCCCCGAAAGCAATTTGTAAAAGGTGGAGATATAATAGTAAGTAAGGCTGGGTAGCCTCTTTTAGTAATTATTTTTAACCATATTCTTAAATGTGAAGTAAAAATTTGCTTACAAGCCAGATAGATAAGGACGCATGGATGTGCATTGTGAGAAACATCTATATAAATACATCTATGTGCTTCTGCATTGATTTTTAGCCTTGGAAGAGGTGTGAAATACATTTTATACTGTACATACTATAGCAGTGTTATAATTATACACACAACAATCACTGGAAAGGTAACAGCAGTGTGTTACAGCAAGTATCTAATGACTTAGGCAAGATTAGATTTTAAATACTTATACAATCAGCACAGGTGGAAAAGGCCAACTAAGTGCAACTTTTCTAGGATGTTAGATCATATTTCAATGAAGCTAAGGAAATATATTTGCAATTTACAACTCCCCTCCCTAGGCCATTCACATGGAATGGAAGCTGCAGATGACGACACAACTTTTTCTACTAGGAGGATGGACGTTCCATTACCCACAAGATTTCAAAATTTCAAATATAAATGAGAATAAAGACAAAAAGATTTCAAAATTCTCTGTGAAGAAAATTAAAAAATATATATCCTGATCATTTAAAATGTTTCATTTGGATAAGATTTAAACATTTCATTTCAGTTTTAACTTACTAAATTATAATACAAAATAAAAGATCTAACCAAAAGTAGTTTCTAAATAGAAGAACAGAAACATTTTGATCTGAAAATGTCAAAAATGGGAAGTTTTGACATTGTCAGAACATTATTTGCCATTTCTAAGTGAAATCCCAGAAAAAAAATCACATTAGCACACACAGACTGATACAATAGGGCAGGGGGTGTCAACCAGGGATACGCATACCGCCAGAGGTACTTAGAAAGGCCGTAGGGGGTACGCGTGGGCTGGTAAGGAAGGAGCATGCCCCGAGGCATGGTGAGGGCATCTCCTTCAGTACCGGACCTGGAGGACTTTGACCACACGGCCGCCGACTGCAGGCGACCCCCAGATTCTAGCAGCTTTGCCGCGATGTAGCGGACATCAAATAGTCCCATACCTTGCTACTTACATGGGGGAGAGGCACACCAGGCCCCACTGGCCCCACATGGCACACTACAGCACCTCCCTGCCCCCACCTCAACTCACTCTCTGTGCTCACTCCTAGGAGCAGGGCCAGGGGGGCAAGGAGAGCAGTGTCCCTCTGCAGGCTGTCCACATGCTGCCCAGCTGTGGGGGAGGGGAGCAGGGCTCACACGTAGTGGCTGCCACCACCCTGCACTACCACTGCTGCCACTGCTGCACCTCACACTGTTTTCCTGCAGCCTGGCACACATGCGGCTCCACGGGCTGCTCATGCACACCTCCCATCAGCAGCCTGTGGAGCCACACATGCGACTGGCCATGGGAAAGTGGTACAGGGCATGGAAGTGGTTGCACGGGGTGGTGGCAGCCACCACATGTGAACCCCCCGCACCAGTCTGGCTTCCTGGCTGGTGCGTGTGTGGCCTGCAGAGGAGCACTGCTGCCCTTTCCCCCTTACCCTGCTCCTGGGAGCAGACACAGAGAGACACTCACCTCCCCCATTCTTGATCTGTTCCCGCCCAGCCCCTTCCCCTCACACACACTTACCTGCTGGGATGTGTGTGCATGTGTGTGTATGTGTGCATGCCTCTCTATATGTCTGTCTGCGTGGGTGCATGTGCGTGTCTGGGTCTGTATCTGCATGTTTGTTTGTGTGTTTGTGCCTCTGTGTGTATCTTTGTGTCTTTGTGTGTGCGTCTGTCCCCTGCCCGCACAGCAGGCACATGGCCTCACACGGCTCTTGAGGCATCAGGGTGCAGAGTCCAGGCTGCAGAAGCAGCTGCCTCCACCCTGTGCACAGATCTGGGGGGCACGTGTCCCCCAGACCTCCACCGGGGTGTGTGCAGCAGCAGGAACTGCTCCCCCCCATGCCTTCTGGACAAACTGCTCTCATTCCTCCACATTCTGCCCTGGCTGTGCAGTACCTGCCCCTGCCCCTGCCCCAGCTCGAGCCCCACTCCTCCCTCACCATAGAGGTCTTAATCTGTTCCCACCCCCCCATTTAAAACCAAGAAATAAATATTAAGGGGTACATGAATTGAAACTTTGAGGCAGAAGTGGAACACTTGTTAAAAAAGGTAGAAAACCCCTGTAATAGGGGCATGCCAATGTTTTTCAGTAGCTGTAGTTTCTACTAGCTTAACAGAATTGCCTTTAATTTCTATATGGCAGACTTCAAAATATACAGGGTGCAGATAAATGAAAGCTTTGACTGCGTTTTAACTTGACATACATTTTTACATGTCCAGACTCTGTAAGAGAATTCAGTATAATTTATGTCCTATTTGCTAACTTTAAAAGGCAGCAAGTCTCAAAAATTCAGAAGTTGGAGCAAGTGATGAAAAGAGGGAAGCTGATAGAGACATCCTAGCTATTGAAAGGAAGCACCTAATGGCCAGCAGAGAGGACACTGGTATTAGCAGTCAAAGGCCATCTAGAGTTGCATGGGCAGAGACTGTTAGGAAAGACTGGGCTATAGCCTTTTATTTGGGGGAAGCTGAAGAATTCACTTAAGGGATGGAACATTGCAGCCACATGACATGTAACCTCAGTTCAGCTAAGTTCAAAGCAAGGTAATGATGCAGATTAGCTTTTGGATGCTTAAACTACCCATTTGATTGGCTGTGGTTCCAGTTGCACTTTGTTACCTCTTCCTATGTCATTTCAGCCTGAGAGAATTTTCAGGATAACTGCGCAAAATTGCCTGATCCCATCACCGCAGACTGCTTTTTGACACCACTAGAATTTAGTAGGCCAGGCTCCCTGCCAGCTCTAAGTGAGCAGAATACAGAGCCTAAGGTGGGAAAAACTGGCAGACAGGGGAGGCTTGCAGTGATACATGGCTGCTACCACCTTCTGTCCAACAGATGGACTCACAAGTGGTCAGCAAAGCCCAAGGAGGTCAGGTGCTAGGCATGGCCAAAACAATGTGGGAGATGCAAGCTCTGAGAAGCTTGCAATGGCAAAACTCCTGTGGAGACCGATACTAGCAAAACTTATTGCTGTCAAGAAAGCCACTTGTCATGGAAACACTGCTTTCTCTTTCTTAGAGCAGTCGTGTGTGTGCAAATTCCCTCTCCTGGGTAACATTGTGTAGCTTGTGCCTTTTCATGCTGGCAAGGGTGATTCTGATCCAGTATCTCTGAAAATGAATTGAACACGTGCAAATCTGGTATAGTAATTCCACTGCTTTCAGAACCACAGTTATTTGTCATGCTCTATCTTTCTAGAACTTTTTAAACCTATTGATATTGTTACCTCTGGTTTTCCTGCACATGTTTATAAACTCAATTTTGGCCTATCACTTGCAAGTAGATGTGGGACCCAGCTATGTATTTCAGATGAAAATACAGGCCTTCCCCCATCCTTCTTCAGAAGGATACAATTTATGTCTAAACAGTGTTGTGCTGTGTTGAGGCATACCTCACCCCTTCAGCACAAAACTCAAGTGTAGTAGAATTTAAAAAAAGATGCTAGTAACTGAATGAGTTGGCATGGAAAAATACTTGATTGTACACTACAGTTAGTAAGTGTACTAATTTTGGTTATGTAGCTCTATGTAAGACCTTAAAGTAAGGTTTTAAATCGGGGTGGACAAAATGGCAGATCTGGCCAGCAGCCAGACTCCATTTCTCAGCAGCCTCTGCCCACTTGGCTGGGCCAGTTTCCATGGCGACCCCGGCCACATCTGCACTGTGATAGCACAAGGCTGGGATTGCCATGGAGACCGGCCCCAGCCGCTCTGCTGCAGAGCTGCTGGGTTCTTGTGGTGGAGACAGCTTGGTCTGGGGCCATGGCAATGTTGTGCTCTGTGCCTGCACACTCCAGGCAGGGGCACACAGGCAGCAGATCATGGCTCTGCCCTGGCTCAGGACCAGGCTGTCACTGCTGCAAGGAGCTGGAGCAGAGCTGCAACCTGCTGCCTATGTGCCCCTGCCTAGAGCATGCAAGCTGCAGATCACAGCTCTGCCCTGGTCCTGGTCCTGGTCCTGGTCCTGGTCCTGGTCCTGGTCCTGGTCCTGGTCCTGGTCCTGGTCCTGGTCCTGGACCAAGCTGCTGCCACTGCATGATCTCAGTGGCTCCGGAGCAGGCCGCTGCCCTGCTCTGCTGCACGCCCTGCTAATACGGCTGGTGGTGGTCTCCATGGCAACCACAGCCTTGCGCTATCACAGCGCAAGTGTGGCTAGGGTCTCCATGGAGACTGGCCCCAGCCATGAGGCAGGGGCTGCTGGGAAATGGAGTCTGGCTGCTGGCCAGATCTGCCATTTTGTCCACCCCTGATTTAAAACCTTACTTTAAGGTCTTACATAGAGCTACATAACCAAAATTAGTATACTTACTAACTGTAGTGTACAATCAAGTATTTTTCCATGCCAACTCATTCAGTTACTAGTATCTTTTTTTAAATTCTACTACACTTGAGTTTTGTGAATAAAATTAAAAATTGTAGCATAAGGAAAATTGCTTTCTTATTTCATTATGAAATGTTTGCAGGATTCATGAATTTTAAAGTTAAATGGAACCATTCTGATTATCTTGAATCTGACCTCCCATGTTTGAGATAAACTAGTGAAGTGCTACTAATAAATAATAGAATATAGGTTTCCTTAGTACTGAAAAATCCCTAGGTTTTTAAAGCTATTTAAAAATATCTCTGATACAAATATAGTAAGTATAATAATAGGCACATTCCTTTAGATACTTCTGATTAGCTTTTCCTAATAAAGTATAAGCACCAGTTCCCATAGAGAGCAAATTGAAAATAAATGGCTAATCATTATTAATGAATGCAATGTTGATTGTTAAAATGCTAATTATTGCACATTTATTTAGGTTTTAATGGCCTAATCTTGTACAGAGTCATCAGTATAACTCCATGCATATGTTTTGGAGTGAGTAGTCTGATTGTGCAGTTAAAGCCTGATCCTGAATTGAAGTCAATAGGAGTTTTGCCACTGACTTGAATGGATGTAGAGTCAAACATTAGGCAGTAGATTAGCAGATGACATTCCTTTCAACATTTCTTAACTAAGATTTCCCCCCTTCCATTATCATTTCAGGCAGACAAGATAGAAATGAAAGAATTCTACCAAAAATCTTTGAAATTTCGGGTGAGTAGATCATTTGCTATTTTACCCTTGTTTCAGTGCTTTAAGTGAAAGGTTTCATCCAATTGAGGATTATTAAGGGGTCACTGACTGTGTGGCGTTTTAGCTTCTCATCCATTAAATCTAATGCTTTTGTCTTCCTAAATAATTTTCTTTGTTAAAGAAATACTACTTTTAGATGCATCATTCCCATTTTCTATGATGAGAGGTAGCTTCTTGTATGCATTAGAAACTAAAAATGTAACCACAGAAGATATGTGTTAAACAAAGAAAGAAGCATGGTGCCCAGCCTAAAATCAGATACTAATGTTTATTAAGAAACTCTCATATGTACCTTGTGATGAAAATGTGTGATAATGAACATTTAGTGGATATTGTTATGGTTCCATGATAGTAAATCTAAAGCTTTTGTTCACAGTTAAAGCCCAGTGCCTTAGGTCAGGGGTTTTCAACCTTTTTTAACAAGTGTACCCCTTCTCTCTCAAAGTTGCAGCTCAAGTACCCCTTTATATTTTTTTCTTTTTTTTAAGGGATGGGGGGGTGCAAATCAAGGCCCCTGTGGTGACAGAGGGAGGGGGCTGGGGCTGGGGCTGGGGCTGGAGCTGCACAGCTGGGGCAGAGCGTGGGAGAGAGCCACAAGCAGCTTGTCCGGGGAGTGCAGGGAGGGGGTGGCAGCTCTCACTGGTGCACACAACCTGGGAGGGCATGGGGGCATGTGCCCCTGGATCTACATGTGGGGCAAGGGAGGGCTGGCCCAAGGGTGAGAGAGGGAGTGGGGCTGAGCCAGAAGCTGCCCACCCAGGGCAGGGCAGGGGACCGAGCCACGCAAGGAGTGGCTCCCACAGCTATGTGCACCCCCATGAGGGTACAGGGGCGTGTGCCCTGGATCTGAGCAGAGGAGGGTGGGCTGCCGCTGCTGGCTGGGGCCACTGCTGGGCTGTTCCCAGCAGGGGATGGGCCATGTTGTGCTTGGGGCAGGCAGTAGCAGTGATGGGAGGGGGCTTTGGGGAGGCTGCAGTGAATCCTGGAGTGGCTGCAACCCAGGTTAATCCCCTCCCAGTGCTGCCACCACCCATCCCAAGTGCAACCCAGTACTTGGCTGTGCTGGGAAAAGCCCATCACCACTCCAGCCCCAGCTGACAGAGGCACCCCATCCTGCCCCATGCAGATCCCCAGGCACAGACCCCCATGCCCTCCCAGGGTGCATGCAGTGGTGGGAGCCATCACCCCCTGTTCCCCGGATGAGCCACAGCTCTGTCCCGCACTCTGCCTTTGCGTGCACTCCTGGGGTGCACAGCGGGTGTGTGCTTACAGATCTGCACACAGGGAGAGGAGGGCTACAGCTGTGAGCTGGGGCCAGCGCCAGGCTGTTTCCAGTGGGGGCTGAGCCAGGCTGCACTGGGGGTAGGTGATGGTCGCACTGGGAGGGGGTTATCGGGGGGCTATGGTGAATTTTGGGGTGGCTGCAGCCCCTCCCATAGCCCCCTCCCAGCACTGCTGCCACCTGCCCAGAGCTCAGCCCAGACCAGTGCCCACCA